TGTCACAATATCCATGGTAACACTGCCAACAAACACCAGTTATGGTGCAGCATGGCAACAACAGCCTTATGGCTACAGCCTGTAGACAAAGTAGATTGGGGCTGAAAGAGTACAGGAAAGTGTGGATACATGGAGACAAAGTTGTTACACTGATGAAACTTTGGAAATTGAATTGTGGAAAAAAAAAACATCATAGCTATTACTTCATGCACAAGTGAAATAAAAACACAACTGAGAATTTGCCCAACTGTCCCTCTGGCTCGGCAATTGAGGGGGAATGTTGGTATTAGTGGATGAACTGTTTCTTTCCAGCAACTTGTTCACCATTGGTGAGCTTCCTCATTACAGAACGTTGGACAAGCAGGAAGTCTGTATGAGAGCTATTAAGAGAACATCTCATCCTCTGAATTTTAGAGATAGTATGCATGGCTATTATTTTCACTATTCTTGCACCCTGCTTCTCTGGGTCCTCTATTTTTTATTCTAGCATTGAATGAGAAGAAGGGGGGCATCTGCTTTATTTATTCTTTCAAGACAGATGCTTGCAATATGTTTGCTTTAGACTGGGCAGTGTGCAGCGTTTGACTGCTTACTTTGTACCCCTACTGAGAATCGCAACATTTTTTGAACTGAGCACATACAATTTTGCAGTCAACCTGGCTAATTAGAAGTGTGTGCTATGTAATTCAGATTATCCAAGTAGAGATTGCACATAATGCAATGTGTATCACTGCACTGAAGCTTTTGCAGACTTTACCTATTATTTCAAATTGCTTGGCTAAATCCATAAAATAGTTTGAGAGATTCCATTCCTTCAAAGTAGTAAATAACACTAAAACTGGTTTGGTAAGCAAATAACATTCCTCCAATTCAGAAAAATAACATAGCACACATCTCTTGGGCCTGTGCCTTGGCTTCCTGTTTGGTCTCTTGGTGCTAATGTCTTCAATATGTCACTGGCAGCCATCACTGATGGGACATTTGTGACTTGCCATGTCCAAGTGAAACTCTAGGGAATGGAAAAGAACAATTTTTCTTATTTTTATCTTATTTTATAAGCAATAAAATGTGTTTTCACAGTGGGCAGCCCTTTTTATTTCATTTTTTGCCTAGTTGTTGTGAATATGAATAATGAATTTCAATTTAATTTCCTGATTTAAAGTGATGGACTTCATTACACGGAGGCTGCATCACATTAAATTTGAATTCCTTCCTAAATAATGTTACAGACCTCGTAAGCAGCTCCCGTTTAAGACTGATCTTGCATTCGTTGTTGGAATGCTGTTGAAAGTGGCATTCAAGTAGTGAATGCTATACATACCACATTTAAAATTAGAAGTTCTTGCCTTGTGGATAGGAGCCCACACATTGTGAGCATCCCCACTGCCATCTGCAGCTTCCAGAGTTGGGAAATGGTTGCTGGTGGTATCGGCACGCATGCAAAATAATAGCTGCCTTCCACAGGGCAATCCTTTAACATTGCAATGGGATGGGACTATGTGTGTGTCCATATACCATTTATGAATCAAAGTCTGCAGCTGACACCTGCAATCTGCCTTTCCTATCCTCCCTCTGTCAGTGACATAATGCTAATTCAGTTTTAAATGCTTGAAAGCATCTTCCTCTTTCTGTGAGACCAGATGTGGCATGCACCAAAGCACCCAGTACTTAGCTAAAACTCCCAACTTTGATCTGCATCGGGGACAGTGGGAAATCTTCCCTGGCCAAAGTCCACCCCATCTAGATGCGATTGCTTCTGCAGGAAATTTCAAAGTCAGCTTCCACATTGACCAGAGAGTTTCCAGTATGAGGTAGGTTTTTGTGTGTGCCAGACACAGCCAGCTTGTCTTCAATTTGAAAATGCCTTGAGCAACAAATGAACTTTGGGAATCAAATAAGTTTAAAGGACCCTGTCTAGATTAATACATTGTCTGACAATGAAGTAAAGAGCTTAAGATACAGTGGATGAGATTCAGAGATGCTTTTCTGCAAATAGACCTTTTCCACAAGCAGAAGAGCATTTCCTGACCTCACACATGTGAAAAATAAACTGAGGAAATCAATGTAGCACTATGGCAATTGTCCCATCAGTGCAAGCATTTTTGCTTGCCAGATGGAACGATTCCCTACTCTTCCACCCTTGTGCTATTCTGGGGGTTCTCTTGACCTCCCCAGAGCCAATGTTGGGGGCATGCGGGACTTGCTAGTTGAATCTGGCCCTGAAAGAGCGTAGTGTGTGAGGTCTTCCACTGGCTCTTGTGCAACAGTTTACAGAACAATAGCATTGCCAGCATTTCTTCTTCTGGAATACATCTGGATCCAACTCTCTCTCTCTCTGTTGTGTGTGTTTGTGATGCCAATTTTAGAAGTTCCTTCTCTTCCTTATTTTCAGTGTTGTCAAACCCTTGATTTCCCTAAATAAATTCAACATTACTATTTAGTTGTAACCATGTGGCATGGATATTTTATGCTCAGTTCACCTATGCTGGTGTTCTAGCTATATACTGCTTGGAGTTTTGGCTCTTATATAAGTATATCCAGGCATATTTAGTGCCACGTTTCTTGTGGAAGCCCAGAAAAGAACTGGGGAGTTAAGCAGGATGTTAAGGAATCACTCTGCACCCCCAGTTTGCCACAGTGGCTTGCTGCCTCAACACTCACTTTCTGTGTCTTTACGGGAGCAGATATTGAGAGAGAAGTGAATGTACATGCACAGTAATTTGTGGCATGAGCATTGGAAATATTTCCGTGTTGACTGAAAACAGTGTTGCTGTTCACCCAGGCTTTTATGGGGATTGATTTGTGTGATCTGAGAGCTTATGATTTTTTGGACTGCTAAAGGATTAAAGCTCCCTATCCTATTATTGTCCAGATCTGACTTAGCACCAGTTCACTTGCTGTTTACTAAATAGAACCCACCCAACCCCCTGGACAAATTTTTAACAAATGGCCACATCTAGTTTGGACTGGTGCATATTCAGTGAATATGGAATCTTCCCTTATTTGTAACAGAGTGGGTTTGCAGAATCCATTTGGGTTACTTTAATTAATTGTTTGCTATGGATCTGAGGTAGCTAAATTTTTCATTTCCTTAGAAGGAGTATCTTCTAAGGTTATTGTAAGATGCATCATAATTATGGTTTACTAATAGTGAAAGAGAATATGAAGCAAGGATCCCTGGACGGCACTTTGAGGTCCCAACAATCAGCTGATTATCATGGCATCAAAGCACTCTTTGCAAGAAGCTTCTAAAAAGCCCTTCATGGTGTTCTGAAGCTCAGATGAGCAAGAATTGAAAGCTCTGCACAAGGCTCTTTGGAAGCCCTTTGTAAAGAGCCCTGCACTGTGCTTTGATGCACCGGGTGCACCAACCTGGCCACCTTTTTACCTGCCTACACCTGATGTCATGTATGAGGTCGAGTGATTGGTAGGTGGATGTAGCTTAGCCAAAATGGCCTGATGTGCAAAATGTGGAGGCCTTGTGGGCCTAGTTAGACCATGGGTCAGAGGTTCCCTACCCCTGATGTATGGGAAGGACAGTCTATTAACTCTTGAAGCTGACTTTAACTGGTTGCAGCTGCTGTTGTGCTAATAACTCAAACAGTAGTTTTCCTATAAAGGTACATCACATTCTGGCTTTGGCTTTTAAGCAGACAAAGCTATTTCGGTTTAGTAAATGTTGATAATATATACTACAGGCTGCAGAAGAAATGGATACTGTTTATTTTTACAGAAGAGGTTGAGATATACAGTGGTACCTCTGGTTACAAACTTAATTTGTTCCGGCAGTCCATTATTAAGCTGAAACTGTTCTTATCCTGAGGTGCGCTTTCGCTAATGGCGCCTCCCACTGCACGCGTGCCTGCTGCTCACATCCTGGGGCAAAGTTCACAACCAGGTGCAACTACTTCCAGGTTAGCGGAACTCATAACCAAAGCGTGCGTAACCAGAAGCGTTCGTTACCGTAGGACTGGGAAAGAGCACCTTCAAATCCTACAATGGTCTGACAGAGTAGAAGGCAGCTTCCTATGTTCCTTATTCTGGTGCGAAGACAATTCTACCCATATTCTGTTTTATTTTCTTTGTTTCACGTGCCATTAAATAACTGGAGCATTATATAAAATGTAGACTTCTAATGGGGGGGGGGGACTCTTGCACAATGTATGGTGTTTTTCATTTACTTAAATGGAAAGAGCAGATCTGTGCTTCATAAAAGAATGTGCAGATAGCTCTGCTCTCTCTCAACTGAAATGAATGGTGGGTGTCTAGTCAGTGCTGTGTGTGCGTTGGGGCTCTCAAGGCCATAGAAAAATGAATAGACAGGCTAAATGTATGTGAGTTCTGTTGACTTTTTCTAAGACGCATTGCTTGTGTTTTTCTTCTATATCATTGGCAGCATGTTATAACCACAATGGCTTCTATATTGGTGTTATTCTCAAATGCACAATAGCAGTTATAACCACTCCTTTTAAATTGCTGTAATGCTTGACCATGTAAACTTCCTTGTTGGGAGAAGAACCAAATTTGTTACAGTTCAAATACAGAACTGTTGTTATCGTAGCTGAAAGCATCAGTTCCTCTAACAAAATGCCTTTGAATTCTAGCTTTCTTTATTTTTCCACAAATGTACAGGATCTCTAAGAACTGCAATTTTAGTAACACAGAAATCCTAATTAGGCAGTGGGGGTGGGAGAATAGATAAGTGGCAAGTCAATCCATGACTTCCAAAGTGCTGCTGGTTCACTTTGGGAGGGAGGTGTATTTTATTTTTATTCATTTATTTTTAAAAAACCCACATTTCATTGCTTTCAGTGGGAGGGGGAATTCCTATAAGTATAGGAGCTCAGAACTGGCAAGCAATGGACTTTGGATCTAGCAGATCCAAAGCTGTCCTTCTCAGTCAGCCTTAAATAGGAGTTGGTTTGCTGTGTCGTAAATATTCTTTATTCTTCTATAAATGCCAGTGTGACATTATTTCCCCCAATTGTTTTTGCCCTCAGATCTGCTATTTAGACCAAGATGAACTGGTATAATATTTTGACTGGATTTCTACAGCTGAGTAAGTTGTCGGCTACTCTTTCTAAACAACAGCATAAGAAAAAAATCTTAGAAGATGCTAGTCCGCTATTTGGTGCACTTCTTTCTTGGCCAGTGTCCCTGAATTTCTTTGTATCTTTGAGGGATTTGATGCTAGAATTAGTAACAGATTGGCAGACGAATATTATAGCTCAAATCATATCAGAGGAAACATTTTTGTGATGAAATTGTTCTAGATATTGTAATAGTATAGCAAGCCAAGCATACTGTTGTGCAATCAAAATTATTCAAAAAAACCCCACCCCGTTGCAAATTGGGTTTGTTACCAAAATTTAAAGGCTTTCAGCTGGTTGCAATGAGCAAATCAAACAAAAGCAATTGAAATAGCTCAACAACAGATGCTTCAAGTAGTTTCCCCAATTAGCAACTTACACTGTAAATTTTGATAATAACCCTATTTGTTTTATAATTTGACCACATACACAGGTGCATGTTCAAAAGATAGGGAATACTATATATTATCTCAACATTAACAACATGATTCTGTTCTGTTGATTTCTTACAAAATATACATAATATATGGTCAGAATTGCCATCTTAAAGTTAATAGCCGCTAGGCTTTTATATATCGCCTTCACATGTCGAACCAATGTGTGGGGCTGTGCTGGCCAACACCACCAACAATGTTGCATGTGCTCACTAGCAGTTGTTGCTGTCATCCATACATGCCTCTGCAGCAGGGAGCATTTGTGTGTTCAGCTGTGTGGATGAAGGCTTCCACATGATCTGGAATCCTGTGAAACATGTGGTAATGATTTAGTTGTTTAATTAAAAGCATTTCTAAACTGTTCAATATTTAAAGATATCTGCGTGGTGGACAGAATTACAACATGAAAACAACAAAACAGTATCATAAAAACAATGATACAACATAGAGAGCAGGAATTCAGTGACTGCGGGGTCTTCTGGGGCAAGGCCTAGGCATAAAAGATATTTAGAAGATGAATGATGCTTTGTGTACTGCAAGAGGAAAGGGCATTTAACTGTGCAGGGGGTTCCAGGTCACATGGAAGGCCCCCTCCCTGCACATATTTGTGCTGTCCCCTTGAGCTCCAGGGGGAAGGGCTGCACATTGCCTGTAATGTTGTGGGTGGGGCTAATAGTTGTCTCTCCTCATACACTGATCTACTGCACGAGGCCTTTGTATGTACAGAGACATACTTTTGCATAGTAAGTACAAGTGGTTTTAGGCAGTGGGGGTGACCAGTATCAAGACAAAAAACACCAGTTGCAAAATTTAAAAACTCGACAATATAAAGCGATGTAAATAATAATAATAATAATAATAATAATTTGTACTCCTGAATTTTGTAACTAAATTTTACTAAATATAAATATGCTGTTCTATAATACATTCATTTATAATATATACCCTTCCTTGCTGAAAGATGAAGGCAATTTTGGAGTGCTTCTCAGGGGATGGAACTGTGGCTGAACTGCTTCACATCAGTGTACATAAGTTATTTTATATCCATGTGAATCTAGTTCTTGATGTTTTGTTCATGAGTAATGACAAAATAGGGACACGGGTGGTGCTGTGGGTAAAACCTCAGTGCCTAGGACTTGCCGATCGCATGGTCGGCGGTTCGAATCCCCGCGGCGGGGTGAGCTCCCGTCGTTCGGTCCCAGCTCCTGCCCACCTAGCAGTTCGAAAGCACCCTTAAGTGCAAGTAGATAAATAGGTACCGTTTTATAGCAGGAAGGTAAACGGCGTTTCCGTGTGCGGCACTGGTGCTGGCTCGCCAGTGCAGCTTCGTCACGCTGGCCACGTGACCCGGAAGTGTCTCCGGACAGCGCTGGCTCCCGGCCTCTTGAGCGAGATGAGCACGCAACCCTAGAGTCGGGCACGACTGGCCCGTACGGGCAGGGGTACCTTTAATGACAAAATAAAAGAATGGGGGTGGTGGGGAACCCGGAATTAAGCTGATGGCCAAAAAATTATTTAGGTATCAGTGAATGTATTTCTGTGATTTTATGCATGTCTTTGGAAGTGTGCGTTCAGTAATTTTGCCCAGAATTTGTTTTATCTTGTGCTAATAAATGTTCTAGCTCTCAGTTATATGAGGTATTCAGACTAATCCTTTCCCCCCCCTGTACCCTCAGATTTTCTTCGAATGGTAATTTCCTATTGCATGGTATATCAGATTCCTCCACAGAGCTTTCAGCTACCATGTGTGCCATCAGAGAAGACTTCTAACATTTCTTTGCCCACTGGAATTGCAGAGAATGGTCCTAGCATAAATGAGGAACATGGTACAATTAAAGCCAATGCCACATCACTGGTGACTGAAGATCATTTCCTATGTTGCCAGTGGAGTGATACACATATTAACTGTTTTGTATATACTTCAGAAATGGAAATCAAGGCATTTACGTACTCAGAAAGCGGTGCTTTTACATCTCAACAAATAGGTATGCTTGGGGAAGGTACAATCATTATTATTGTTGTAGAAAATCATTGTTATTATTGTTGTTGTTTTGTATACAGCCCTTCTTCCATAGATCTTCCATGGCAGTTCAAAACATAAAAATACAAGATAAAAACCACAAAATACATAATAAAAGCAAACAAACTAATAACCTCCACCCCTTCTCACAAACACATTTAAAAGGGTATAGGACAGGGGTAGGCAACCTAAGGCCCATGTGCTGGATGCGGTCTAATCACCTTCTCAATCCGGCCCACGGACTGTCCGGGAATCAGCGTGTTTTTACATGAGTAGAATGTGTCTTTTTATTTAAAATGCATCTCTGGGTTATTTGTGGGGCATAGGAATTTGTTCATCCCCCCCCCCCAATATAGTCCAGCCCACCACATGGTCTGAGGGACGGTAGACCAGCCCATGGCTGAGAAAGGTTGCTGACCCCTGGTATAGGATGTTAATCAGCCAAAGGCCTAGTTGAAGGGTAACATTTTTGCCTGGCACCTGAAGGTGTGTAGGTGTGTAATTGAAGGTACCAACCCGCCCCCCCCCCGCAAGAACATTCCACAAACAGGGAGCAACTGCAGAAAATGTAAGAGGATGTTTTGAATTTATTGGTATTGGTACCAGTAAAAGAATTAATATCACCCCATAATTTAAGAACACTTGATTATATATTTGGGATTGGAAACTTTCTTAGAAATGTGTTCTCTCCAGTACATGGTATTTCAGTGGTTTTGGCTTGCAATGAAGTTCTGAAAAATATGTAAATTTTCCATTTAGATTCAATATGGAATCTACAGTTTTGGTCTAATGAAAGCACAGAGGAGTTATTTTGTCTTGTGGAATTATCTACTAAGTCACCATACCTGGATGAAGACCTTTCAGTGAATCTGTTGTACACATTGTAAGTATAATCTATGTCAAATGTGAAATTTATGTAGTTTACAATTTTCAGGATTATTTTTTTTAGTTCTGCTTTACTTTTTCTAATACTAGTGGTGGTAAGGGGTTTGGGAGAAGAGTATAGGAAATTATCAGCTGCCCTTATATACCAAACTTTAAAAGCAAATTGTTAACATTGGGATTTCCCCCTGCCCTGCTCTATCTTTGTCCTTTTATGAAACTGCTACTAACATGAGTTTGACCAAACTGTGGAAAGCAGCGGAAGACAGGAGTGCCTGGCGTGCTCTGGTCCATGGGGTCACGAAGAGTCGGACACGACTAAATAACTAAACAGCAACAAAGCATTTTATTTAGATCAGAGGTCTCTTCTGTCAATATACTTATTGTGCAATATTTCATGGTTTGGCCATAAAGGATGAACTTAGTCTGCCTCATCATGTTGACATCAGATACTTTATATTTCTTCAGTTACTATTGGCATGTTTTCCAGCAGTACCCTTCACGCAGCCCCTTTGGAATTTTTTATTGCTGTTCCATGTGTTCTTTTGAATAGCTAGATGTTTTGCTTACATGACCTGGTGTCCTTTATGTTAAATGCAAAATTTAGTCATAAAAGTGTATGTTTGGTTAACTTTGATGATAGCATTGATCTAAGCATGTTGCTTTTCATATGAATGGTACACATTTCTGTTAGGACTTGTAGAAGGACTATGTTCTTCTCAGCTACAAACACAACATCAGACACTCATGATACTATAGTAAATCTTTGTCTCCTATAATGTAAACCTACTGTGCAAAAACATATAACAGAGGATCCAGCATGTTTCCAGTCTTTCCCAATCTCCTATCGTAAGAATACTACAATTGTTGATATGGGCTGCCCATATTTTATGAAAGCACTGGCTTCTCTGTAAATATGTAATAGCTATTACAGCCTTGGACATTCACCTCTGTGGGGAACAGTGAGTTGAGTATATTCTACTGAAGGCTGCAAGCCTAGACCTATTGATCTCAGTGGAACTTATTTCTGAGTTAGAATAGAACTGGCTGCAAACATTGCTATGTTAACTATGCTATGCTCTCTCAAACATTGCTATGTTAACTGCAGACAAAAATAATAATAATGTGCCCCCTTTTTAAACAGAGTGACTAACTTTCTTGTGCCACAACAAGGGTTCTAAAATCAGTCTGTCAAACCAAGGGAAACCAAGGATTATTTCTTGGAATTTGGTGGTGGAATTAGGCTGCATGCAGAGTGAGGAGTTCTTGTTCCGGAGTCTTTTGGGTATCTGAATGTTGACTGCAATGAGTCAAGCAGTGTAAGAATTTATTGGGATATAAATCTACTGAGAAAAATAGCTGCATTAATTTTGCTCAAACTTTTGAATAGCTGTCCATGATTTATGATATCTCTTAACAGACAGCTTAACAGACATATATAGCCAGGATGCAGTCACAAGTACCCTCATAACCACCAAATATGCAGATGCAGCCAGGCAGTTTCTAACTCTGGCCAAGAACATCTCCTTCGCTGTTCAGTAGGATGAGCTGGAATTGACCTGCATATTTCCTCCAGTGGAACAGATTCCCTAAACAACCAATTCAGATAATGAACTTTTCTTAAGAAATTTGATTTCCCTAAACAACCAATTCAGATAATGAACTTTTCTTAAGAAATTTGATATCTAACTCTCACTTCTACCTTTTGGCAATATGAACATATGTCTTCTTACATTGAACTCTATGGTAGCTGAAAATAAATTACTGAAAGGCTGTTTAAACTCCCAATATACCCAGTTATTTCAAATTCTTCCTTTTAAAAAAATACTCAAAACATATTTTCCACAGATGATTTTAGAGTACAATTTCTTTTGCAAAACTCTAATATGAATAATAGGCAACAATGAAACCTTGCCAAATGCTTTTTTTAAAACAACAACAACATTTTTCTTGAGTGCTTCAAAGAATTTTCCATCACATTACAATGCAACTGTAACATATAAAAAAGAGAGAATACAGAACAGTGGCCAATGAATACCACAGCTGGTTTCTCTTATAACTACAGAAGGAAACGGTGGCAAGTGGAACAATGCTGACTTTCCACTTTCAAGTAGTGTAGTGTAAGCTGAAGCCAAACCGTAAAGAGTATATATTTTTTCACTCTGTTTATCCGAAGTCTGGTCCAGGAAAACATTAATTTTACAACTTTAAAAATAAAGTTCTGCAGTTTCATGCCAGTTTCAAGAACTAACCTTTCATGTTGCAAAACTAAGGGAAGTATTCTTTGCTGCTGTGAGCTTTTGTCATTATCTCTTCATGTTAGTTCTTCATGGTTTGTGAACTGTAAGTACCACCCGAAAAGGCCAATAAAGTTTGTGATTGTCTCATAGTAAGCTTGCAAGAAGATCAAACCTATCCATTCTTAAGGAAATCAACCCTGAGTGCTCGCTGGAAGGACAGATCCTGAAGCTGAGACTCCAATACTTTGGCCGCCTCATGAGAAGAGAAGACTCCCTGGAAAAGACCCTGATGTTGGGAAAGATGGAGGGCACAAGGAGAAGGGGACGACAGAGGATGAGATGGTTGGATAGTGTTCTCGAAGCTACCAGCATGAGTTTGACCAAACTGCGGGAGGCAGTGGAAGACAGGAGTGCCTGGCATGCTCTGGTCCACGGAGTCACGAAGAGTCGGACAGGACTAAATGACTAAACAACAACAACAAAGCTTGCATTCCCTTTCCCCAGACTGCCTTTTAGTGCTTTAGAAGAAACTATCATTTGGGGGCTCAGTGGATTATTTGGAAGGCTGGCCTTCTCTCATATTTCTGAACTTATTTGCACTGTGCACAATTGTCATTTTTTTGTTATTAACTTCCTTATCCTAATTTTAATATCCCCCCTCAAGACTGGGAGAAAAGGCAACTTGTGTCTACTGCATTCAGTATTGCAGGAACTGAAAGGATTTACCGTATTTTTCGCTCTATAAGACGCACCAGACCACAAGACGCACCTAGTTTTTGGAGGAGGAAAACAAGAAAAAAGATATCCTGAATCTCAGAAGCCAGAACAGCAAGAGGGATCGCTGCTCAGTGAAAGCAGCAATCCCTCTTGCTGTTCCGGCTTCTGTGATAGCTGCCCAGCCTACATTCGCTCCATAAGACGCGCACACATTTCCCCTTACTTTTTAGGAGGGAAAAAGTGAGTCTTATAAAGCAAAAAATACGGTAAATTGGGAATGGTGTGAGATCTGTGAACCCAGTACTTCTGGTACATTGCTGATCTATGTGCTCATCTGTCACATAGGCTGTGCTTACTTGAGCTGTAACTAAGTTGTAAGTGTCAAACATGCAGTGTATGACTCTCCCGCAGCACATTGGCACATATCTGACCAGTCTCAAAAGAGGCTGTGCATTTGTGCTACTTTTCAGCAAGCACCGAAAAGAGTACAGTGAAGGCGCCTGCTTGATCTCAACAGGCAAGGAGTTCCAAAGTGCAGATGCTGCCACAACTAAATGACCGAGCTCTTATAAATGTGGAATGGGTATGATGTGGCACCTGTCGTAGTGCCAGTTGCACTGATCAAAGTGGTCCAGTGGGCACATGGACTCAGTATTTACTTAATGGCAGTGGTGGCTGGTGCATGTTGGAACTGGTAGGGTGGAAGACAAGGAGACCAACAGAAGGTAGAGCCATAACCAATAATAAAGGTAAAAGGGTAAAGGTACCCCTGCCCATACGGGCCAGTTGTGTCCGACTCTAGGGTTGCATGCTCATCTCGCTCTAGAGGCCGTGAGCTGGCGCCGTCCGAAGACACTTCCGGGTCACGTGGCCAGCGTGACGAAGCTGCAGCTGGCGAGCCAGCACCAGTGCCACACACGGAAACGCCGTTTACCTTCCCGCTATAAAGCGGTACCTATTTATCTACTTGCACTTGAGAGTGCTTTCGAACTGCTAGGTGGGCAGGGACCGAACGACGGGAGCTCACCCTGTCGCGGGGATTCAAACCGCCGACTATATGAATGGCAAGGCCTAGGCACTGAGGTTTTACCCACAGCGCCACCCCAATGATACGTAGCATCAATGGATCCGAATTTTTGTCCCACCCTCCTCCCTGCTGAGTTCTACAAGGGCAGCTCTTGAGACTGAAGAGTATGCTGTTTGCCATTCCATCTCCTGGACTACTTCTAAGAGAGAAGGCAGGCAAGTGGGGGCTGGCTGATGCAGACAGGTTGGTGGGGCAGTGCCCCATTTGCCCCAGTGCACCATCCTCTACTGCGTGTCACTTTTTCACGAATTTCAGGATGTTCCACATTCACTTAGATTTGTGGGTCATCATCCAAAGAAGTGTTCCACATATGCAGAAGAAAACAAGGCTACAGCTGGAGGCTTTGTTTCCCCCTTGACACTGGGAACATCTGTAGCAAAATAACAACAAATGACCTGGCTGCATATCTGGGTCCTGGCCGCAGAGTATCCTCAACAGTGTTTTCTGCAGATTGGGAGGTCCTTTATCTCAGTTAATAGCCATACTATCACCAAGGCTCAGCATAAGTGACAGAAGTTTAAGACAGAAAGCATAGAAACATCTATGTTTACATTTCATACGCTGATGAATTAATTTAAATTAAAAAAACCTGTGTTTCAAAATAGGGGTCATTTGGCTGGGCTGCTGTGTGCGAGGCAAGCTAAAACCACTATTTGGTGTGTGGAGTTAATTACACAGTTCTCTGGATGGTCTAATGTGAGACTGGTGCCACACTTGCATTAACTATTACAGACAATTAAATGAAGGATTGATTTTTCTGCAGCTGGTCTTTAATACACATTAAACTTACATACTTCATATTGTAGTGTTTGTGGTTTACATTTTGGATAGCTCAGTTAAATAGTACATTTTTTCAATAAGAGTTTTGCTTGAGTCTATGGGAGTTTTCCAATATATTAAAAAATGCATAAAACCAAATTTATTTGGGGAGGTCAACCAAAGATATTTTGGGCTTATTTGAGTTTTGCAGAAGGAACAAAACAGAATGCTAAAAAGCCGGAATATGAATACTTTCCATGGTTTATTCCAAAGCAATAGCAGGAGCGATTGGGTTTAAATGAGTTGGGCTGCTTCTTCTTCTTCTTCTTCTTCTTCTTCTTCTTCTTCTTCTTCTTCTTCTTCTTCATGGAATTGGAGAAGCAAATTATCCAAAAACAGAACATGAACCCCCCCTTCAAATTCTGTGAAATTAACATTAGATGATTACTTGAGGCTAATGAATTTTGAAGTATGCTTTGCGTGGAAACTATGCTATTGTCTCAATATAAACAGGTTTCAACAAATTTCTGCTGAAAACAGATGTAACACTGTAAGAGTGAGAAGGCAGTTTGATAGTGCCATTGATACCTATAATGTAAACTTATTTCCGCCCCGACCTGATGTGTACACTGTTCAGACTTGTTTTGTGTGAGGTTCAAGCTAAACTGAGAAAACACCATTCCTCCACCCCAGAAAGGAGACAAAGGGTTGTATTCAATGTTAGTAGAGAAGACCCACTGAATTAATGGACAGGACTAGGTCTATTAATTTCAGCTGGTTCTACTCTGAGTAGAATTTAGTTGGCTACAACCCAAAGGCTGTCATTTGCATCACAGCTATGGTTATCTATTGGCCAGTTTGTAACATCAGTCCCTTCAGTCTGTATCTTCCATTCTCCAGCCCCAGATTTGTTTTGAAATTATGTTTAAAAGTTTTAGACTTTTTATTGCATTTGTGTTTATTATTATTTTTAAAGTTGTTTTTTTAAAATTGTGCAAGTTTATCTACTTGTTCCAAGGCTTTAATCTCACAGTTTGAAAATTAATTTCTTATTGCCTTTCAAAGCATATTCCAGTGAGTAAAAATGTGTTCTTGCTTTCCGGCACTGTACTTAACATTTTACGGTATGTTTTAAAATATGTAATGAGGCTTTTTTCTTGCACAAAGACCATCCTTTAATCCCCACAGTAGGACTCCCAACTATGTGACATTTGCTGGCATAGCCAGTTTTTAAGGCTGGATTGAGGGTAGAGCCATACCCAAACATATGTGGGAAATCACTTGGAAAATGTTAAGTTTCTATGCAGTGTGTAGGTTGTTCCTAAGAAAAGACTAAATGTTGCTATATGGTTTTTTCCTTAGAATTTTGGATAAATAAAAGCTGCACAGTCAAGCTACAAATCCCCTCCACTTCCCAGTGGGGAGGAGTTGCAGTGGACCACATGGCCATCCACTTCCCTCTGGGGCCGGGGGACAAAGTCCTGTGTCACCTGGAGGTTCCTGGTCACGTCATTCGCCAACCAGCCAATCTGCTGTCTGGGGGGCATGGCCAGGCCCCATTTAAACTGAGGTGCAAGCCAGAGAGCTTCCTCTTTACTCGCTTCCTTGATCTCCTACCCTCCCTCCCTATTTTTCAGGTTTCGATTTTGGCCTTGCTATGGACCTCGGTTGGTCACCCTTGAGGGGCCTGGTAGGAATTTTTCCACTTGGCAAATTGGCATGTGCCATTTCACTTTCACCTACCTCATAGCAATCGTCACAACTTTGTAAGGATTGGTGGTTAGGCATTGGTTGATCTTATGATGGGGGAGGGGAGGTGTGGTCATCACCTGCCCCTCCAAGCTTAAGGGTATTCCGTTAAAGGAATCTGGGGGTGTGGATCTTGTCCAAAGCCCGGGGCGGGGCTAGGGCCATGCCACGACCCCGTTGGGAACCCAGGGGGAGCTCGAGTTGGTTTTCATCGACGCGGCTCCCCCTACCGGTGGTTGACCCTTACTGGACTCCCTGTGTGACAGGCAGGAATCAGATATAGTTGGGTCAGTTCCAATGCCTAAGCCAATACAGCTCACATTCTGTAACCAAGAAAGTTGTGGCCTAAATTTGCCCAATAACATTAACCTAATATCCGTGTCCTTGTGTTTTATTCATCAATGAGGGGGTGGTCTCAGGGTCTTGACACGCAATGGCATTAACTGCAGTACTCTTGCTTTTTTGTTTGATTAATATGACTAGGCATTGGGAAAAATTTAAACAAAATGATCACAACCTTTCTTTTGTCATTCTATGGGTAAAAGTGGCATTCTGGTATGTTCAGCCTAGTCTTTCTAGAGGGTTTTGATCTAAAATAATTAACCCATCTTAAAAACAACATCTAGTAAAATGCTTTAGACATGCTACTTCATACAAAATATTCACAATTGATGGGTTTCTTTTTCTTTTACAATTCAGAACAGATGTATCATTGGGAAGTACCTCTACACGTTCCCTAAAGGACAATGTCACGGTCACTCACTGCAATGCTGTGAAAAACCAAAAATACAAATGTCAGATATCTTCAGCAAAGTTCAAGCATATTTACATTATGTGGCTCAAGATCACAGATGGAATAACATTGCTTCAGTCACCACTAATGTTAGTCAAACCTACAGATATTGGTAAGTTTCAGTTTATTGGCCAAAGTGTTAAAATCAGAATAACAATAAGAGTCTGAGGAAGCTTCCAAAATGATGATTCCAGAATATACACTGAATATACACTGTGACAGAACTTAATTCTATGGAAAACACCCTCCCTCAAAGCAACACACAAATACATAAGCTAGTGTAGAATAAAATGTTGGTATTGCAAGCCCTTTTTTGCTTTTCCCAACATATTTTAGTTGTATAGCAAAATACAGTAAGTAAAATCAGTGGTGTAAGTCCTGAATGAATTCCCTAAGATACAGTACGTGAAATCTCATCCTATTGTAATTCCAGCAATGTTAAGCTTGTTCTTAAAGCTGCCATAATTCATAACAATAACGACATAATTCTTTCCCCACATGAAACTGATGGTGGAAATGGTTCAGGATCTTAGGGCTCATCCAGACTTCCATTTGTACCACTGCTTTCCCTTGGGAAAACTTGATTTTTATTGCTGAATCAGAGCAGATGTCAGTCAGGATTTTCATGGATTTATGTTTGCTACAACTCAGTGCTGAAGAGCGGGTTTTCCAGGGGAATGTAGCGGAGCATACAGAAAACCACTTGGACCTTATGGCTAGAAAGCATGGGACAAGTGGGAAACCTGCTTTTTCTAGGCACGGGATAAATGTAAGCCTGGACACGCCCTTGGTATTTTCAGTTTTTATGCAGCATTTACTTTTTCTACAAAGTAAATGAAGAGCAATGTTTATTAGCTCATGGTGTCCTTAAGATTTAATCATACTGTCATTTCTGAAGTAAGAAATTTTTTGGCACAGTAACTTTGATCCCTTCGGTAGGCCGGTTCTGTTCATTGCATGGCTGGCATTGGAAGCCTGAATGAGAGGAGTTTCTAATGAATTGAAATGAATTATACTGCACAGTTCTTAACCATACCTGCAAAATCCTTTTCATTTTATTTTTAAAAATGTGGTTGTTGTGGCACAGGGCAGAACTACGCAAGATGGTGGCAAGTTCTGTGTGTATGAATATTGAACTGCCTCAGTCACACAGAAAAAGAGGGAAGTAAGGCTCCAAAAGCAAAAGTGTCATTTGGATAAATAGTGCAGAACTCTCCCTACACTTCTCCCCCTGCAGCTCCTCTTATGCTGCTTCTGGTACTGGAGCTCATCTGAGGAGAAGAGTTCATGGGGGAAAGAGTTCCCTAAGAGACATGTAGGGAATCTGCAGGCAGGAGGAGTGTCCTGCTTGCATTCCTCCCAGGTGAGTCTTTCCCCCTTCTTATAATTGGATAGATGCTCTCCTCTTCTGCATGGCTAGGGCAGTGTAAACATAGAACAGCCACTGTCAAATCTAATGTGGCAATAGTTAAGATCCTAGAACCTGCTTCACAGAAACAAAAACCAGCTTTCCCCCCTAATGGTTGAAGGTGTACTGCCGGCACAAAGTTAAGAATGGGCTTTAAGTTTTGCATGGAGGAAATGTTCATAGAATCATAGAATCATAGAATCATAGAGTTGGAATAGACCACAAGGGCCATCGAGTCCAACCCCCTGCCAAGCATCATCTGAAAGCAGGTAAAATTGCCAAAATTACTAGCTTGAAGAAAACAGCCATTTGACATGTTTTCCATAAATAATCATTTTTGTACCCAGGACTCCTTCCTGAAATCCATGGAATTTTTAAATGCCTAACTCTGGCTGGATCGTGCATACTATGTGCAAAGAAATATTCATTTATTGGAATCGTTAAACTGTTGCATCTTCACAGCACAATGTGGATTTGAAAAAAATAAATATATATATACATTAACTCAAATGAACTGCCTGGATTCTTGAGGGTGACATCGCTATCAAAAATCGTTGGAAAATCTCATTCCAACCCCTAGAACCTTCTTCATTCCAGCTCAATGAAAAAAGACAAGAGGGGAAAAAGGGTTTCTAGTACGTTCAGAAGATGCTGAGACTCAATGAAGTTCTAAAGGGTTACTTATTAATGGGTGTTTTAAAATCAAGGTACAGATTCTTTTAAAATTAGAATTTTAGCATTTAAAAAGGTGAAAGCTTTGCTTCTGCTTTTTAATCAAGTCATGGGAAATGGTACAATCAGATGGCGGATGCTTTTAATGTTTTGTTGCTTTCTGGCTGAAGAAGCCGCTCCTTACGAACATTTGACCATTTATGAACTGTTTAGTGTTTTAACATTCTCACCATAATGAAAAGAACATTTCAGTAGCCTATTTTTCTTAGTATCTTTTTTGTAATTAATTGAAACCTTTTAGAATGACCATTTCATGTTGCTTACAAATTAGGTTAATGCTTTTGAAAGATGATGGGATTATAGGAATAATGCCACAGTGATTCTTTCAAATCATGTCACTGAGTGGCCTGCTACTTTAAAACTGTACTATCTAGCTTAATTATATCTAGAATTAAAAATGGCACTAGGTGGAGTTCATTTCACATCAAATCCTCTGTAAGGCCTTGAAGGAATATACTCTTGTGTGTACAATCAGTCCTCTGGACCACAGCCATTGACTACATCCAGTTAAGGTTGCAACCCTGCATCCATATACAGTACCTAGGAGTAACTCCCATTGAACTCAGGGGGACATAGTTTTAAATAAACATGTATAGGACTGTGCTTTCAGTAAATGCTTGAATTGTACTTTAAGTCCCAATCACAACTTTTAATTGTTTTCTTAGATGTATTTATTCACTGTTTATCATTTCGTAATACCCAACCAATATAAAAGGCTAGAACCATAAAGAGATAAAAATCACTGAACAGAAAATACCAGTATGTATGGCTGGAATCACTCATCTGAAAGGGACTGCCTGAACAAAACATCTTGAACAAGTTTCAGAAGCCTAGCATTGCCAGCATTCCTCTAACATCAAAATGGAAATCCAGAGGGTTGGTGCTAGAACACTAAAGGTGACCATGGAAACAGATACAGGAGCATATGGTACCTCTACGAATGGCCCTCCTGAGGATTATAGAGACTGCACTGGTCCATGGAGGAAGTTAGACGGTCTCTCAGAAAACCAGGACCCATATTTACGGATTAGCCTGGCAGCACATTGGTAGTCAGTGCAGTGCAACATGCTGTTGGTAGGTCTTTTACCAGTGCATAGACCACTGTCTCCAAGCTATCCCTAACCAGAATGGCCATAGCTGCTGTACCAGCCAAAGTTGATAAAAGGCATTCCTAGCCACTGAGGCCACCTGTACTCGAGTAACAAAGATGGAGCTAGGAGGATGCCCAGACTATGCACAGGTTTCCTTCAAAGGGAGTGCAAGTCCATCCAGCAGAGGCTACTGACCTTTCCAGGACATGGTAAACACTTGGCCACAGCACCCACCCTAAGGGTCTCTGCTTATGGAATTTTGCATTCAAGAGAGGATTGACTAAGGACCAAATGCATGTTTGCATTTAACATACGTGGCTTGCGTGTTTTTGTTTTTTTAAATTAACAACTGTTTGTGGATTGACAATTAAGTCCCCAACAACATCCCCTATGGCTTTTGTACAATTAAGGGAATGCTGTTAGTCACCCTGAGAATTAGAAAACATTATGTCATCCTTTTGCACTGTCTTTTTCATCACTGAAAGAAGCTCCTCACTTTTATTGCTTCACCACTACAACTGTAGGCTGAGGTTCCTTTTCATCGTTACATCCCAGCTATGAAGCCTCTCTTCCAAGCCTTCAAATGCTGAATGATAGAGGGATTTTGAATTAATTGTTTTTTCTTCTTTTGGAAACTGAACAAGCTGCCTCCACAGCTCTTCCAGACCACAACCGCAACTCAGGAAAGCATTTATGAATATGTTGAAATACTTTCAGTGAACTGGGGCATGAGGCAGTGGGTTATTCTTCATAGCTTAAAGCCACATAAGGTTAAAAAGCATGCTCCAGTTACTGTGTCACTTTGAAAGAGGTTTTGCATCATTGTGTGTATGCATGTTAATGTATAATATGCATATATTATGAAAAATGAATATAAAATAAAAATGGGAATATAAGTGGCTATTCAGAGTAACCAGCATGCTTAAACTACCTTGTTGATTATAATGTTTTACAGTAAAGCCTGAACCTCCATCACATCTGCATATAGATATGACAGACGAAGGACAGTTAAGGATATCTTGGTCTCGCCCAGCATCAATATCATATCCACTTCAGTATGAAATAAAATGCTTTGCAAATTCAACTGAAAATGTTTGGCAGGTGATGCTTTTCTTGTTCCTAAATTCACTCTATGAAATAAGCAAGCCAAAGAATGAAAGTTAAGTTCTGATCTAGGAAATCCTTGTCTTAATATTAATAGCCCTGAACATTTCATTTGTGAGAATTTTGTAAAAATAATAATATAATAGAATAGAACCATAGTCTTTTTCATGTAACTAATACAAACAATGATAGCTTCATATCATGGCATGGTCCAGTAAGCATTGCTGCCAAAGTACTATTGAAATCAATTGAATTAAAGTGATCAAAGGGATTAAAACTCATGACTTGAGTTTTACTGGCTGTATGGGCACTGATGCACAAAATTATTACTGGGGTTTGGTTTTTTTATATATATAAAAAGTGAGATTAAGGCAAAATTCACCTTTAATGGGACCACATAACATTGGCCTAGCTCAAGCTACTTGTAAAAACTCACTCTCTGAATACATTTTGAACTCTCATGCTAAGCAAGCACAGTTTGGGCCAGAAACCAAACAGATGTGTGAGCAAATAGAAACCACTTCTGTGTGAACACATTAGGGTTGGCAATTCCACCTAATGATGTTCCCCATGTACATCAATCCAAAAACTACTTGGGGGGGTGTGACTTGAAAAGGAGATCTGGAAGAACCTCTAGGTGTACATGGAACTGCTACATGCAGTTCTTTGCATTGTGGCCATAAGCCCACATCATATCTGGATGTAAACCGCCGCCCCGCCCCCCAGAGGGGAGCTTTTCTCTAATTAATGTATGTCTTGGCTTCAAGTTAAAGTGGTGCAAGAGTGGCATTAATAGTGTTGTTCTGCTTGTTTTTGACATAATTTAATAGGTGGTTGAGAAGACCATGGAAACGTCATTGATCATAAGCAATACACTATTTGATTCTTCATATGTAGTTCAAGTCCGATGCAAAAGCCTTTATGGACCAGGCCTTTGGAGTGATTGGAGCACACCTTATAACTTGAATCTACAAGGTTTGTCCCCGGTGGAGATCTGATTTGCTAGTACTGTGGAATGCAAAGAATGGACTAGGTGACCCTTGGGGTCCTGTCCAAGCCTACAACCCTATGAATCTCAACATAGGATCATTATCTGTTTTGAAAAACATATCCCTATTTATAAGGCGTGATGTATGAATACATGTTATAGGAATAATATATGTGTGTGGACTTTCTTCACCAGGCCAGGCTGGGTGGAACGGTTCTGCATCTGGGAACCACAGAACAAGTCATACTTTCAAAGAGCAAAATGGTCAAAGAGTTCCTGGACATTTCTTATGTCCAGGAGCATGTCTTATGCCTGGAGAAGAGGAGGTTAAGGGGTGATATGATAGCCATGTTCAAATATATAAAAGGATGTCATATAGAGGAGGGAGAAAGGTTGTTTTCTGCTGCTCCAGAGAAGCGGACACGGAGCAATGGATCCAAACTACAAGAAAGCAGATTCCACCTAAACATTAGGAAGAACTTCCTGACAGTAAGAGCTGTTCGACAGTGGAATTTGCTGCCAAGGAGTGTGGTGGGGTCTCCTTCTTTGGAGGTCTTTAAGCAGAGGCTTGACAACCATATGTCAGGAGTGCTCTGATGGTGTTTCCTGCTTGGCAGGGGGTTGGACTCGATGGCCCTTGTGGTCTATTCCAACTCTATGATTCTATGATTCTATGATTCTTACTTATCCAGTCACTATGCGAAACTGCTTTATGCACATACATTCCCCCCACCTCCAAGCTCAGATTCTAGTTCTCTGAGGACAAAGCCCAGTTATAGGCACTGTGACCACTGAGTGGGAGAATGATACAAGGGATCCTTTTTTTAATGGGATATTCCCCCATGAGTTCCTTATCCCACTGAGAAGATGGGAAACTCTCCCACAAGTCTGGATGCTTCCAGGGAATCTACAGTATTATTATTATTAGTAGTAGTATTATTACAGTGGTACCTCAAGTTAAGTACTTAATTCGTTCCAGAGGTCCGTGCTTAACCTGAAACTGTTCTTAACTTGAAGCACCACTTTAGCTAATAGGGCCTCCTGCTGCCGCCGCGCCGCCGAAGCATGATTTCTGTTCTCATCCTGAAGCAAAGTTCTTAACCTGAAGCACTATTTCTGGGTTAGCGGAGTCTGTAACCTGAAGCGTATGTAACCTGAAGTACCACTGTATTAATAATAATAATAATAATAATAATATATACTGCCGTATATCCACTGGTCTCAGAGCAGTCTAGCCTGGAGAAGAGGAGGTTAAGGGGTGATATGATAGCCGTGTTCAAATATATAAAAGGATGTCATATAGAGGAGGGAGAAAGTTTGTTTTCTGCTGCTCCAAAGAAGCGGACACGGAGCAATGGATCCAAACTACAAGAAAGAAGATTCCACTTAAACATTAGGAAGAACTTCCTGACAGTAAGAGCTGTTCGACAGTGGAATTTGCTGCCAAGGAGTGTGGTGGAGTCTCCTTCTTTGGAGGTCTTTAAGCAGAGGCTTGACAACCATATGTCAGGAGTGCTCTGATGGTGTTTCCTGCTTGGCAGGGGGTTGGACTCGATGGCCCTTGTGGTCTCTTCCAACTCTATGATTCTATGATTCTACAGAATAAAAAAAAATATATAAAACCACAAAATCCATAATTAAAATAAAAACAATAACAACCAATAACCCCCCCATTTAAAGGCATAGGAAAGAAGGGCCATTTACTTTCCCTCATGGCAAAAGCATTTATATGGTGAGGGAAACACTGGAGATTTTATGGAAAGAAGGTTAACTTCTCCGGTAGTGGGCCAACCCCATGCAGCATTCAGTGTGCATAGTGTGTCGAAGACGGTCTCTTTCCATTTTATAGGAGGAAAACTTTTAGGGTGATGGAAGGATGGCTGTAATTTTCATGCATTAGTCTGGCAAGTAGGAGAAAGCATTTTTCAATGAAAGCATTTTCAGTTTACAAGGTCTCAAGGTTATGTTCAGTTTGGATGTGCAGTCAAGGAAAAATATCCTGGACCCACTCCTTTGTCTGCCTCTAGCCAATTGGCTTTCCGGACCTCCCATCCCATTTGGCCAGTATATAGTAAGAAAACAGTTTCTGGCAATGCCACAGAATGCATGGGAAACCAATGTAGTAAAGGATTATAAGTCTCTAATGCATAAGATGAAATATTAATATTCAGCAAACATGTGCTTTACTGGTCACATACCATGTTGTGATGAGCATGACGAGAACCTTAGGAAGGGTAATATCTTCCCTGCAGGGAACTCAGATAGGGCTATTCTCTCAATGGCTAATTCTAGTGTTAAACAAATAGAAAAAGAATTAACCCATTAATGAAGTTGTGGCAGCAAAGAAGCTGTTTTGTATTCACCTCAGTGCATTAACACCAGAAGTACAAAATGCTGGAACTAAACAATTATATATTTATGTATTTAATTAGAATTATGTTCAGACCTATATTTAACACTGAAGGCTGTACTTAGTGTAAATTGGTAATGCTGCATATTGCAGAGCCTGGTTTGTGGGAACTCCCTCTGAACTGCACTGCACTGGAAGTTTATTCTTTCATTAAAGAGTTACTATGCAGGAGTCAGCAAGCTAACCCTTTATAGTGAAACACTTCATTGTAGTATTTTGCCAATTAGTGATCAAATTGGGTTACTCTGGCTGTGTTTTGTCACCCACCAAAGGATTAGGACCAGTGCTATTTTTCCACAAGAAGAGGTGCCAGAACTCATCATGAACACCTCCATCATTCGCTTAGAATGGCAATGGCACCCACCGGGGAAGTGCCAGGACTAAGTTCCAAAAAATAAACCCTGATTAGGACACTAGGGACACCTGTGCCTCATTACAATTATGTAACTGTTTTTCGGTGTGACATGCACCCTAACCTGGGAGTACTAGAATCTGAGCTTGGAGCATATGGACATTGACATAAATGTTTCCATACTATGATCACTTATAGTGATCGCTTGTATTATGATGTCCTATATCTGCGCTGTCTTTATGTTTGTTTTGGAGTCCTCTTGAAGAATATTATGTGCATAGCTGAGGACACCAAAAGCGGCACTGAGTTGCTAAAACCTTATCTGTCATCTATCTATCTATCTATCTATCTATCTATCTATCTATCTATCTATCTATCTATCTATCTATCTATCATCTATCTCTATCATCTATCTATCTATCTATCTATCTATCTATCTATCTAATCTATCATCTATCTATCTATCTATCTATCTATCTATCTATCTATCTCTATCTATCTATCTATCTATCTATCTATCTATCTATCATCTATCTGTCTATCTATCTATCTATCTATCATCTATCTATCTATCATCTATCATCTATCTATCTATCTATCTATCTATCTATCTATCTATCTATCTATCTATCTATCATCATATCTATCTATCTATCTATCTATCTATCTATCTATCTATCTATCTCTATCATCTATCTATCTATCTATCTATCTATCTATCTATCTATCTATCTATCTCTATCTATCTATCATCTATCATCTATCTTTCTATCTATCTTTCTATCTATCTATCCAGTGCTTTTTCTGGGGGACGCAGGGGTCCGCATACCCCTAAACATTTTGTGAATCTAAGTTTGGCCTCATTGAGGGGCAGTATTTCAATATGAGTAGGAAAATGAGAGTACCCCTAAACATTTTAAAAAGAAAACAGCACTCTATCTATCTATCTATTTCATGTACACCCCAACTTTTCCCCAAGGATCTCAAAGTGGTGTACATAGTTCCCTGCCTCCCCATTTTATAACAACACTGTGAGATACATTAGGTTGTGAGTGAGTGAATATCCTCTGGTCACCCAGTGAGCTTTATGGCAGAGTGGGAATTTGAACCCAGGTTTCCTAGGTCCTAGTCTGACACCCTTGCCACTACACCACACTGGTTCTCTTAAACTGACAAAATGGTTTCTCCTTTATAGAGTGGTATACATACAGAAAAACTCTGAGCCCTTTTTTCAATGTATGACTCCTTTTCCAGCACATGTACATGCCATTTCTTGTTTGCTGTTCTCTGTATCTTATGTATGCTTTCACTGAATACTTAAATTGACTGAACCTTCCACCTGTAGCTAAACATTTTATACACACACAGACAGTGTTTTTTTCTATAAAAAATGTTGAGGGAGTACTCTCATTTTGACTCAAGAAAACAACCATTTTATAGTTCAAATTGGGAAAAGTAAATACAGTAAATGGACGAAAGTACAAAGAGTCACAAAATGTTTAGGGTATGCATCCCCCTGCATCCCCCAGAAAAAAACCACTGTATATATAGATATATTCATTTCTTTAACAAAATTTATATACGATTTGATTGTAATAAAACCTCAAGTGGTCTACAAAATAAAACATTGAAATTATCAATAAAAGACAGTTAAAGAAAGATGATTTGACAACAAATTTCATTTCAAAAACAAATGAAAATCAACAATAAGCTAAAAACAGACTAAAATACATGTGACAGGTTGGATAAGTAATCTTAAAGACTACAATTAATAAGAAAAGGGATATTCATTTTTTTCTATTGTAAATTGTCACTAGCACTCATTATATATATATTTGGAGAGAGTTTACTGCACTGCATACATTTTGGTATGTGATTGTTTTCTTCCAATTTATAATGTTTGTCTCTATTGTCTTTTTTCCACTTTGTTTCTTGTAATAGAAGTCATGTATTTCCCTTCAAAAATCCTGGCAAGTGTTGGAACAAATGTTTCCTTTTATTGTATTTACAAAACCAAAGATAAAGTAATCTCATCGGAGAAGATAGTCTGGTGGTTAAATTTAGCAAAAGAAATCCCTAGGCATCAGTACACACTTGTGAATGACTACATTGGCAAAGTAACACTTGTCAACTTAAATGCTATGAAGCCTGGAGGGAATTTCCTCTTTAATGCCTTATACTGTTGTAATGAAAACAAGGAATGTAATCACCGTTATGCTGAATTATATATAATAGGTAAGATTCCTGCTTATTTTTAAATTAATGTTGGTAAATCCATTTTTTCTTAGATTTTCTGTTGATTAAGTCTGTCTTTCAAATAGATGTTAATATCAGCATCACATGTGAAACATACGGCAACTTGCAAAAAATGACTTGCAGATGGTCTACCAACTCAGACCCACTGCTTTTGGAGAGCACTTTGCTGTTGAGATACTACAGGTACATGTTCATTTTAATCTGATGTTTTGTGAAAAGGTGCCACATTGGAAATGGTGGTGGATAAAAGCATGAAGCAAATAAATGCAGTTGAGCCTAGGACAGTCAAGCATCAGGTCTGAGGCCCACTTTTGGTAGACCAAAGAGGAAAGCCTGAGGTGGAAAGTCTTATAATCAGGAAGATTAGTTTGGGAATTATTTTTTTATAAGTCGTTCCCCTGTTTCCAGTCTGGTTTGATCTTAATGGCAATGTTCAGGCTAAATGTTTACCTCATATACTGAGGTCCCAGGTTTGAGATTCACTAGTAGGGTTGCCATATTTCAAAAAGTAAAAACCAGGATACCCCAAATGTTGTTGAGCTTTTTTTTTTAAGGAATTGACCAGTAATATCATAGAAAATCCGGACGTATGGCAGCCATATTCACTAGAGACTTCATTCCTGATACTGCTGAGCACGCTTACTCGTTGTGAATATATTATTGGCTCTATCACATCAGACTTTGCTTGGAGGAGGGGACTAAATCCAGGCATTCCCATGCTCCATTATCACTTGCATCAAGTGATCAGCTCTCTGATAGGACATTGCTGACTCTGTGTTCAGGGGTCAGTAAAAGGATTTAATCCAGCTAAAATTATTGCTAAATCCTATTAAAATGAGACGTAAATTAGTTGCTACTCACTCCTTCCATTGCTTATAGTAGGACTTAAGCCATTGTCTTCTGAAGATTGAGTAACTGACAATTTTCATTGTCAAGATTGCATCAGCTAGACTCCTGAAAATGTCTGACAGAAGGTCTTGAATAATATCTATTCTTTAGAAGCTAAAGTGGTTACTGATTTTGTTTTGGGGATCAGTTCAAAACAGATGGTGTTCAGTTTAAAAATCCAAAATGACCAGTGTTGAAGGAACACTTCGACCCATATACTCCCTATTGTGCCTTGAGGGGGCCTGGTTTATTATCTCCTTTTTTCAGGAGGCACATTTACAAGTAACAAGTTCTTGGGCCTTCTCTAAGTAGCATGTCACCTCTGGAATTCTCTACAAGAGTTGTGTAAGTAGTTGTCTCTAAGTCATAGTTTTAGTGTTCTGTCAAATCTGGGCCACTGTTTTTATCTCATGCGTCAATTTCACCAATGAGAACAACTTTAAACTATGCTTAGTTCAAATAAGCTAGAATCAAGCCATGGTGTATGATTCTGGCTTCTTCACTAACCATTATATCAACTAACGACAGTCATCCAAGTCCGGACATAACATGGAGCTGTGGTTAGTTTAAGACTGATCTCACAGCCGTGGCAGAATAGAAGGGGAGTAGAGCATATCTCTCTGGTAGCACATAGGCTGGTGTAGGCAATACTGAACTAGTTGCACCAATGGTACAATTTAGTATAAAGCAGTTTCATATGTTCCTATGTGCCTAAGACTCATCCATGCATATTTAGGTAACATGAAGCCATGCTAGAATTATGCCTGAACTGGCCCATAGTTTCTAAATCACCATAATCTTGTATCACTGCAACAGTGCACATAGTTCAGATAGAGACAATGTGTAGCAAACAAAGCAAATCCCTTGATCTTTACACTGATTGAAATTTTGCAGGTGGAATTCTGCAATGCTTTTCCAATGGGAGGTCAGTCATGATTCAATGTTTATTCTTCCCTTGATGCTGGTAGTTGAAATATACTTTTCATTAAAAAAAATAAAAAATCCTGTGCTAAATCTTCAGAGAGAATTGTACTGATTTAATCTGCATTTGTTTGTCTGACATTAAGAGGGAAAATACAGCTAAATATGCCACTGAGGGGCCAATTAAATAAGCAATTTCCTTTCTGGCTGCCTGCTTGAAAGGTTTATGTGCCACAGGTATGTCTGGTCATTCTAATAATATAGAATATACTTTCAGTACTTTAAAAAAACAACAACCAATCTGCCAATTTAAGACTCACCCATATATACAGTGCTTCTGTCAAAGCAACTCCCTAGTTCCATTCCTCCAGGTTGAATACAATAACCACCATGCATATTTCTCCTTTTACTAACCACGGTGCTACTTATGCCCATGCATACTTGGTTGGTAGTGGGTTAAAGGTTAAGAACCAGTGGCCCAGCTCACACATCACATTAAACTATAGTTTGTTTTTAACTATGGTTTAATGTGAATGAGCACCAGGATAGTACACTTGGTCAGACAGTCTCACTCCACTCCTCTCTGCTCTTGCTCCAGGAAACAAGCCAGAGTGTAGCTTATAATGATAACTGAACCGTGGCTCATGGTTTGTTTCACTCAAGAACAAATTTTGTTTATGTAGTTGTTGACGTTCATCTGTCTCGGAAGATAATGGAAAAGTACACCTTCAGGGGTAAAGTAGAACCGTTGGAGAATTTCAGTGTTTGTGGCTGTGAAGACCAATACAGAAGAGACATATTGTACTGCAGGTGTAGTAGATGAAGATATCTAGTTTTGCTGCTACAGGTTCAACATGGCGTTTCTTCTCTCTGTGTTTCTTCCAACAGTCATTCGTCCTGTGGTCACTGTTGTGAATGTACAAAACTGTCTGTCTCCAGACACTGCAATAAGATTCCCGTATGGCGAGGTTAATGTTGCCAGCCTTCATGTCATGTTTGCAGGCATCTTTGTAACGCAGAATTGGTCTGCTAACAGCCTTAATGTGGAAGCCAGCTGCTCTCCCTTGGGGATTGTGCCATCTTCCATTCTGTGGATATGACCAAGCCATAGTAGATGTCGCTGAGAACATGCTGGAAATGAGGTCTTAGGAGAGCACACATTTGTTTAAGACTCCACCCTACCATGTGATGCCCAAAATCTTCCTGACACAGAGATATGGAAGGCATTGAGACATTGATCCTGGTGGGTGTAAGTTGCCCACAACCCACTTCCATAAAGCAGCATGCTCAAAACGCAAGCCTGGTAGACCTTTGCCTTGCTATGTATAATTAAACCAACCAACCACAAGTTCAGGTTCAAAGGTCCCAGCAAGCCAAAGCTTGCATTGTTTCATGGCAGCAACAGGGCCAGATAACTGTTCAGTTATATGCACATTAAACCATAGTTTCTTTTTATCTATTTTTTAAATGTGACATTCAAAGCAGATGTTTGCAGAAGGATTCCAGAGACCCATATGAACTTACCTATTATGTTCCCAGTTGGACATTTTATATCACTGAGTGCCAACTCCTCTTAGTTGGAATTGTGGCCACAGTCATTTGGATTGCTAATTTTTATTTGAACAGAAGTGGGTGAACCTGCTAGGTGGGTTGAAAACACTTGCAGGGCACAATGGACATATTTCTAACCAGAGGCAAGCAGTATGAAATAGACTAATGTTTATCAAAGCATGAGCTGGGTCATTCTAAGGGAGCACATATACTTGCTGCCAAAGTGGAGTGAGTAAGAAGGAGCTCACAAAGTGTTTTGTTTTTGAATAAGCTATGACTGTACTGAGAGGCAAAGCAGAGCCATGTGAGTGTGAGACGAAGTGGGACGTCTAGACAGCTACTCAGCTTCACTGGGTGTATGCTAAGGAACTGTGCTTTTATAATATCAAAGACCAATATGGAGCTTGTTGGGGGACAGTCATATCCAGAGATGTCTATGTGCATGTGCAAAGCACTTCACCTTGCACTGGGGTTGGTGGGGAAGATTCCTCACCCCACCCCACCCCACAACTCCATTCTCTCATGCCTCTTGGTGTGCTGCTCTGGAATAGCCTCTGACCTTTTGAGAACAGAAAAGTAATGCCACTAGAAGATGCAGAAAACCATTTGCAGTGCTTTGGATGCCTGCTTATGAGTCAATATGTTTTTAACTGTGGTACATTTGGAGACAAAGCATGGCGTTTAGCAGTGACAATCTATGGCATAGTGAGCTGGGAAGCCGCCAGGTAAACCTGCCTATCAAAATACAAACCTGGCAGTGTTTACATTCCTACTTCTAAGCGTACTGTCAAAATGCAGGCCAAATGTGTCTTTATAGTAGAACCTCTACTTATGACCGCCTCTACTTGGGCTTGATCCAAGTTGCGACCGTGGCAAACTCGGAAGTAAATACTGGGTTTGCCACGATTTGCCCATGCACAGAAGCGGCTGCCGCCATCTGCACATGCGCAGAAGTGTGCTGCCGCCAAATGCTCCTGTGCACAACAGCGCTTCTACCACTGACCCGGATCGACTTACAGACAGACCTCTGGAACTGATTACGTCCATAAGTAGAGGTTCCACTGTATATCCTAGTCATTCATTCACCGGGCATTTCTCAAATTACAGTGGTGTTCCACCCAAAAACACATACTGTACTTGGGAAGCATGTGAGACTTGATTTAATGAAGCTATAACATCAGACTGCTAACATTTCACAAAGATCCACTGCAATTAGCATACTGTTACCATTTGTTATGAACTGAGAATTTGTCAAATAGAACCAATGTGGTGCAGTGCTTAGAGTATTGGGCTCATATGTGAGAAAACCCGTCCAAATCCCTTCTTATGGGAAATCTGGGCAAGCCTCTCAGCCTAACTCACTCTCAAGTTTATTCTGAGGTTGCAGACCCAGATCTGAGCATCTCCTAGAATTGAAGGGATACATATGTCATTCAGCCAAGACACAGATATCCGGCACTGACAGCCTTCTGGCTGTTCCCACACTGCAAGAAGTGAAGCTACAGGGAACCAGGCAGAGGGCCATCTCGGTAGTGGCACCCACATCGTGGAATGCCCTCAGATGTTAAGGAAATGAATAATTATATAACATTTAGGAAACACCTGAAGGCCACCCTGTATAGAGAAGCTTTTTAAGGTTTAATGTTTTACTGTGTTTTATATAAGCTGGAAGCCAGTCAGAGTGGTTGAGGCAAATTAGTAGTAGTAGTAGTAGCAGCAGCAGCAGCAGCAGCAGCAGCAGCAGCAACATGTCAATTCTGAGGTTTCCTGCCAGGGAAAGGAGTATTAGATTTGGCTCAAAGCTGCTGGGCTGTGGGATCTCTGGGTAGGCTCTCTCAGAACCTTAGTTCCCCACCTTCAAAATGAAATTATTATTTACCTACTTCAAAGTAATTGTGAAGAATAAGACAAAGGATTGTGAAGTATTCTGTGTGCGAGAAAAGCTTTATAAAAATAAATATAAGTTTTATTTAAAAATTGAGGGTAACATATAGCCCTGAATAATTTTTGTTCATGAGTGCACACACAAATGAAAATATGCTACCATTGAGTGAGAAGGAAATTATGAAACTTGTCTCTTCCCCAGTTTCCACAGCCTGCAAAAAAGTGTATAAAGAGAATAGTATAGCTGATTCATGTTTTATAAAAATTACTCAAGAATCTGTATTTTGAGCTTTCCATCTACCTTGAGAGATTCCAGATAGAATTGGACAGTTTTGATTCTTTACAGCAGGAATGGGGAACCTGGGATCGCCCTAGTATTCATGGGTTACAGCTCCCATCATTCCTGACCATTGACCATGCTGGCTCAGCTGATGGGAACTGAAGTCCAACAACATCTGGAAGGCCCCAGATTACCCACCCCTGCTTTCCAATACGCTCTTAGGCCAGTATTAGAATAATTCATTCACATTCCCAACAGGATGTACATTAGAGCCAGTTATTATTATTAATTTTTGTGTGGCAGGGTTCCCAGTGACTTAAACAAGCTGCAAGGCATGCTCTTTTTCTAGTGAAATTGCCAATACATTGCCCATTGTTGAATGACTAATGTGAAACTGAATAGGAGCTGGGCACATCTTAATTTCAGAAAGACTTCAAACTCTTGGCTTGGTCAAGTGGGGCAAATCACATCTGTGATGTAAAACATTAATGTAGGGAATGTTTGTACAGGCGTCTGCTTGCGATTCGGATATGGATCTGTCACAAGGTCTGTGCATTTACATCTATCTTGTAATAGGTACATTAAGAACCTTTTTTAATGATTGAGTAGCCATGACCTAAAATGGAAATGGAGAGCAGCCTTGCTTAGCCTAAAGTACAATGACCAAGGTTGCAAACTGATGTGTTCCTGCAAAATTTGCCCGGCTCAGGTTGAATGTTTTGTTTGTTAGTTTCTTAGACTACAGCCCAATAGTGCTTAATTTCTAAAATGAGAGGTACTGAGATCCAAATAGACTTACCAAAGGGATAGTCAATGTGGTACCCACCAGATGTTGTTGGACTACAGTTCCCATAATCCCTATGAGGCAGTTCAAAGTGAATTAATACACATTACCATCGGAAGAGGGGATCCCTATAAGAGTATTAAATCTGGAGATTAAAATTACCTAAATGCACCACTGGCTTCAGGCAGTGTGGGACAAGGCAGTGATGCAGAGAACAGGTAAAAGAACATGGTAGGGATAGCAATGGCTTCAGTCTAGGCCCAAGCCTTGGAGCATGTTGATATGAGGGTGCCATTTCAATGCAAAGAATAACACACAGCTATGTCAGTATAAGCTCATTACCTTTCTGAGGTTCCATTCATTGACCTGGAAGGCTGTAACACCCCCCCCCCCCGCCGCCATGGAAAGTGGTTATAGGTAGCCAGTGGGGAGATATAAACATTCACTTGCTTCATCTATTTTGCATTCAAACTATCACAAGAATTTCCCTTGGATAAGCCCGACTTCTGTTTTGCAAGAGAATTCAGTCCCGCTTGCAAATCTAGCACCATGATACCTTTCATAAGCAAAAATATGTTGGTGAAAAAGATAATTTAACAGCAAAGAATAATTATATGTATGAGTTGTTATTCCCTTTTCAGTGTTCACAGGGATTGTTTTGGTTTTGGGAACCATTTTTAAATGACTGATTCTGAAAGAGATATTTAGTCCATTTCAGCTGAGTAGGCAGAGAGAAATTCTTAAAAACAATTTTTGTTAAATTGATGGGTAAAAAACATGGTGTTTGAGGGCTTTCTCATCTGTATTAGTTTTTTTACAGCATATACAAATGACAGTTTCGCATTGTTAATCTCCAGATGCATATAATCTCATAGCTAAACTGAAAACAATGTTTTCATGTCTTTTTAAGGAGTGATGTGTATTGTACAGAATCTCCAAGTATGCGTTCTGATTCGGAGGTAAAAGAATGCACTTCACAGAGGAATAATTCTTACGAGTGCATCTTTCAGCCTTTTTATCTCCTGTCTGGATACACAATGTGGATAGAGATTAAGCACTCACTGGGGACAGTGACATCACCACCAGTGTGTATCCTTCCAAAAGAAGTAGGTAAGTGAAAAAAATTTCTGAGAATGGATCATTGATAAGTTTGGGCCTCCCAAGGTCTCCTAGCCCAGGGCCTCCAGCTGCTTAAATCTGGGCCTGCCCCGGACCTTCTGCGTGCAGGATAGATGACTTTACCCACCACTGAGCTATGGCCATCCCCCTTGGTGCTTTTGTATCTACAGGTTGCAGTATATTGCCTTTCTCAAGGGACTTGGGCATGCTATCCAATTCATTAGGAGATTCTTTCAAATGATGTTGCCAAGGAAAAGTAGTTTATAAAGTAGCTTTTCACTTTTGTAGTATACCAATAGCTTTTAAGAGGAGGGGGGGATTCTGGACCCTAGCCACACTTTCAAGATGCATATAATATGGAAAATCCCAGCTACCCCACAGTAATTCAGACATTAATTTGAAAACTGTAAATTACAGAACTATAATATGCTTCCTCCTCGCATAAGTGCCTTTGTGCCTGCCCCCTCCAGTTCCTTATCTCCCCCACCCCATACACACCACACTATGGTCTCTTCTCTAAGCAATTGTTTTTCTTATGGTATTTAAATTATCCAGTCAATGATGGTGAGCTTGTGTGATGGCCAGTGACAGCTGGTTTTATTAAAACTGAAAGAAAATTAAGTGTATGAATTACCACGGCATGCAATAACTAGATATTTCCCACAATGGCTTTAATTTTCATTACTCTCATCTCCTTTTCCATTTTACATCACTTCCTTGTTACTTTCCCCGTGTTATAATTTGTCTACAACTAAACATATACATTCATAGGGAGTACCATATATCCCCAAACTACACCCAGTTCATATAGATTCTGAGCTCCTTGGTGATGATATGCTTAGTATCATACCCACCGTTTCAGATGGCATGTGGAATAGAACTTAAAGAATTATGAACATTTTGAAAAGAAAAGCTGTTAATAACTATGAAGTGTTCATGGCTTTAAACTGGGGTGGTACCACCCTAGTTATGGAATATGCCCTCCACAGTGAGGCTCACTTGCTACCTATATTAAGATATTTTTGATACCAAATGAAGACCTTTTTATTCTCCCTGTGTTTTTACATTTTAGAGTTCCGCTTCAGTAGATTGTTTTATTGAGATTGAGATTGTTTTATTGAGATTGTTTTATTGAGAGAAGACCCACTGAAATTAATGGGCCTAACTTATTTATGTCCATTAGTTTCAATGGATTTGTTCTGTGCAAAACTTAGTTGAATGCCACACAGTATATTTTAGCCCCTGAAACAATAGTTTAGTCCCGTTGTATTTCTCTCTCTCTCTCTCTCTCTCTCTCTCACACACACACACACACACACACACACACACACACCGGCCATCCTTGTGCTTGCTTTTTTTAAAACTGGTATTGAAAAACACATCAAAATTACTGAAGTACATACAAAACAGTTCTTGCATGAAGGAGTGCCTCTCCTCATACATCAGCCATCCCTACATCAGGCTCTCTTAAGATCTTCAGAGGAGGCTCTTTTCTATGTTCCATTGCCGGTGCAAGTTATTAATGTTGTGGTGAGGAAGACAGCCTCTCTTTTGTGATGGCACCACAGCTGCGGAAAGTTCTCCTCATAGAAGCATAACTGGTGCCAGTGTTGCACTGATTCTGGCTCCTAGTTATCTATCTACCCAGGCATCTTAATGTCTTATACTTGTGATTGTTGAAGTACTCTGCTGATTTGGCTGTCCCTGTTTCTTTCTATGTTATTTGCTTTGCTGCATTATTTTGGCCTGTCCCATTTTGTTCCATGCCTCTGTATAGCAAGCTGGCATCAGAATGAGCCAACATGGTGTCCTTCAGATGTTTATGGACCACACTGACACCATCCCTGATCACAGGCCTTGCCGCCTAAGGATGATGAGAGCTGGAGTCCAACAACACTTGTAGGGCACCATTTTGGGTACCAGTGTATAGATGATGGTCAAGCTATAAATATTTTTAACAAAATGTAATAAATGAATTATTAAGAAGATAGGATATAGCTATAATGAATATAAGAAAAATACATTGCTGTAATGCCAGTTTAGTAAGGAAGAGCTGACACACAGCTTTATAGGATTCTATTAGAGACCTCATAAACCAGTCAAATTTATTTTGTTTAACTTTCTAGTGAAGCCGTTTTCTCCCTCCAGTGTCAAAGCAGAAATTACAGGGGAAGCGGGACTGCTGAATGTGAGCTGGAAAAACCCAGAACTTCCAAAGAATGATCTCCAGTTTCAGATTCGGTATGCTGTCAATGGAACAGAAATTGCCTGGGAGGTATGGCCACACTTAATCTAAATTAGCCTGTGCATCATGAGATGCAAGGGTGCAATGGCGTTTTGCTGCTAGTTTGTAAAAATGTGTGGATTCCAGCATTTGGTTTGTCTAGCAAAATAAACATTTGTGACATGCCTATCTTCAGTAGATTAACTTTTATCCATTGTGTGTGAGGGAGGGGGAAATTGGGGTGTATTTTCCATGCCAATGAGATTTCCACTATATGATGGGTTATTTTCAATTATGAACAATTACAAACAAAAACTATATTTTAAAGTAAAATGTAATGAAAATATTGTAATCTTTCTTTAAGAAAAACCCACAACTTTATTACAACTGAGAACTAATGCTAATAGTTTTGTGGGGTGTTTTTTTCTAACTCCTGCTAGAAAATTGCCCTTGATTAGACAAATTATGGTTAGATAAACTTCATGACCTTGGTTAGATAAACTTCATGACCTTTCTTTACCTTCTTCTGCCTATTTGTCTATGAAAAAATGATGGGATGTTTTACTACACCAATCTGTTAACATTGGCTGGCTTAGTAAACACACACAAAAGACAAAATTCATTGCATTTCTGGTGCAGTCCCCCCCCCCACCAGAAGGAAAATGGAAAGTGGTAACTGGCTGAAATTTGGGCACATTTTACAGGTGACAATTTGTGACAGTGTCCAGGGAGAACTGTTCTTCAGGTCAGCTTACGTGTGACTTGCACAATGAAAAATGCACTGGGGAGTGCTTTGGCCCCTACAAATTGGATGAAGATTAAGTAGCAGTTAGCCTATTGAAGATTTAAGATCTCGGCCTGTCACTCAGAAATGATTTTGTTTGTTACTAGTTTAAACATCCTTTTTTGTTACAGGTGCAGGAGGTTTCTGATCCATTAGTTAGCTCTGCCAGCACAAAAGTGCAGGATCCCTGCGCAGTATACGTCGTTCAGGTGCGCTGCAGTGTGATTGATGGAGTGGGCTACTGGAGTGATTGGAGCAGACCCGCCTACACAGTTGTTAAGGATATCAAAGGTCAGTCAGTGTCTTACCTGTAAGCTTTCAGTTTGTTGGGGTTGGTGTTTTTTGTTTTTTTCTAGATTTATAACCAAATAGGCTGTTGTTTGCTTCTTACTGTCCCCCCCCCCCCCAGCTCCCTTGAGAGGACCTGAATTCTGGAGAACCATTAATGAAGATTCAATAAGGAACCAGAAAAATGTTACTCTTTTTTGGAAGGTAAATCAATGGAGAAGGGTAAATGATATATTTGAAATCTATTTCAGGTTTTTTTTTTTTTGTGTGATATTCATGATATATATTGTGGGTGTTGGCTGGCTTTGAAGGATACCAGACCTAAGACATTGGTAATTTCTGTTAGCAAAACTAGTGAAACATAGGTTTACAATAGAGCTCTGTGACAGATCAGAATATGATGTTTGGTGTGGGGCAGGTGGTAATGGCTTGGAGAAAATGGCCTTGCAAGCCAAATTAGGATTGTTGTCTGTCTAATTAGGCTTGTACGTCAGAGTTTACCATGAAGATCATCCCATGATGATGACCCGCCACTCAGAAAGTTTTCCATTAGGCACAGGGAAAAGATCTCTGACAAAGAAAAGAGCCTCTTGAATCTCCAAGTGCCACCTTTTTAATAAACAGAAACATTTTCTCATGAAGAATGAGAGAATCTGTTTTTGGACATGGTCCAATCCTTGTTGGCCAAAGCTATCAGGGGCCTGGCAAGTAAGAACTATTCATAGATTATTATTCAAAAGGGGAAATTGAATTAAGTTAATAGCATTTCAAGCACCCTTACTGCGCAGCCTGCCAGGATGTCAGGCATTCCCTTAACAATTCACAGGTCACTCATTTTTGTTAACATCACTTATCAAATAGGAAGAAAGGAGGATGATTTGGTAGGTGTCTAATTCTGAATGACAAGCATTAATTCACAAAGGAAAAGGCTGTTTAAAATGAGGTTTCTTATGTAAAATTTATTTCACCAATTAAAAACCCAGATACTTCTCTTTGTGCTACACTACACTTCATACTATAAAACCTAAGTTTGATTATTTTAAACCCAACTTTGCTTGCCCGGCAAACTGTGTTAAATATTTTAATTTACATTTATTGGTATTAGAAGTAATCAAAGGTGACAGAAGTTGTGGACTGTTATAGGCAGTTATGGACAGATGCATGGTAATTATTATAAACTGTAGCTTTTAGTCTTGCTAACATAAAAACAAGATACCAACCCTCAATTGCTCCTTGAAAAAAACATACACCTCTTCCCAAACCAGCCTCAATCCACAATTGAACTCCCTAATGTATCTGAATTTTTCTTACAGCCACTGATGAAGAATCTTTCCTTATGCAGTGTGCTAGACTATGTGGTTGAGCATAATACTTCAGAAAACATTACTTGGTCTGACTATGTAGAAAATGATACTGCCTACACATTTTCATGGACGGAGGATGTACATGCCATTAAGGTTCTAGCTGTCAACTCAATTGGAACTTCCTCAGTCAATTTCATTTTAACTCTATCACAACAAATCAGCACAGGTAAGAAAAACATTTTTTGATAGCTTCAAGTATTGTTAACTCAGTAATCTAGTTTATAATAAACCGTTCTCATTTTGTAATGTGTTCATGTTTAGACAAGTAGTTATTTGAGTGGTAAGGCCATGTTATTGCTCTTCTACCTATTTAATCATATGAGTTTCTGCTGCCAGCAGAAAATTAGGAGGCACATGGCCACATGGTTCCTGCCACCTGGGCAGAATTTGGGTTGGGGGTGGGGAATGCAACTTTCATCAGGTGCCTCCACATGCCTAAAAAAGAAGGGATCTTCATGGTGCGCCAGTTTCTTTCCTTGTGAGCTTTTCCAAATTTTTAACCTGCAGGCTAAAAGCAGCAGTTGAAATATACTTCATCGTTCTCTGTAGCATCTGATGAGTTCTCTCCTAATTTGTAAGGGATAATGAATGTACCTGATGACCAACATACTGTTTTCCTGTTTTGTCAGTAAACATTGTGAAGTCTCTCAGTGCCTACCCAGTGAACAGCAGTTGTGTCATTGTGTCCTGGACACTTTCGCCTGTGGCTTATATAATTACATCTTTTGTAATTGAATGGACAAACTTAAACGAAGAAGAGCAGATTAAATGGATTATGATTCCCTCAAATGTTAGGAAGTACCACATTTTTGGTGAGTTTGTACTTAAAAATCTATTACTGCTTCTCTTGTGTTTCAATATCTTCCTCCAGTATTTGATTATAGATAAAGATTTACTGCAAAACTGTAGAGGCTATCAACTATTGTACATTTAACATAAATTCCAAAAGGACTCCACAATAGCCTTTTATTTAACATTGGAGTACAGGTTTCCTTTCCCTTCCCTGTGATAAATGGTATACTTGGTTTCTTATAGTGCAATTTGCTCTGTTAGAAATGGTGTTTCCCAGCTCATCTTTGAAATTTATTGTGGATTATCCTTCTTAAGACAAGACTGATACAGTAACTGAATGGTCTCTGTGTGAGATGAACAGTTACAGAGGATTGTTATGTGTAGTGACTTTTTATTCTTTCCTAATTTCTAAAGGCTGTAAAGCAGGGATGGATAACCCATGGCCCTGCAGATGTTGTTGGGTAACTGCTCCCACTATGCCTAAACAATGGACTTGCTGGATGGGAGCAACATATGAAGGAACACATTAACCCTAATGATAGAAATCAAGAGAGATGCCCATCTTTCAGCGTTGCAAGGCCCACACTGTTTTACGGATTTTATAGATTAGGAATTGTTAAGAAGATTTAGTATGCCCAAATTAAAAATGTGGTATGTTGTCTTTGTTCCAGATAATTTCATTCTTATTGAGAAATACAAATTTAGTTTGTTCCCAATAATTCCTGAAGGAGTAACAAAGCCCACAGTGACATATGGATTCTCCAAAGGTGAGCAACTGGCATTTTTAGTAGACTTTTCCTTCAAACCAAGATTTCTTACTCTAACTTTTAATGAGGAAAAAAAAATCACATAATACGTTGGGAATGGCATGGCACATCTCGAATCTTGATTATGCCAGAAAAATTCAATAATTTTTAAATGAATAATCTTAATGATCTGTAAGCAATTCCAATCTCTCTACTTAAAGCATACAAGAGCATTTCATTATTTTTATTTAATTGCATGGTTTCAAGAGAAGAGAAAGGGAAAGTCCCATTGCATGAGCAGAATGCCACTCACACAACATTGGATACAACTTTATATATCCAAGTCTCATGTAACTTTATGAAATAACAAATCAAGTTCAACTGTACGAGCTGATGCAAACAACCAAGTCTGCAATCTTAAATTCACTTAATTGGGAGTAAGGTTCATTCTGTAGGATTACATTGTGAATATTCTCTGTAATGATAGCTGTTTTAAACTGCTGGGTCTTATTTTCAGCTGGAATTGAAAAACAGAATGATGTGAACTTCTATGTGATTCTACCCCTAGTTATTTCATGCTCCGTTTTGCTGCTTGGAGGTCTCTTGATCTTGCACCAAAGGTAAACCTTTCCTGTATTGAATCTGTTCACAAGTTTAGATTGAGATGAATAATTTGAAAGGTGTTATAGATTAATCCCTGGAAAGGCAATTTCCAGTAGCAGACAGCAGGGGCGGGGGACGACGACGACGACAGTGGCGCTTACTTGACCTCCCGCAAGTGTGCCACTGCTGCTTACTGGGAAGGAGAGTGAAAGGAGCAAGGAAACAGGAACATCTGTGTTTTGCAAGAACATTAGCAGGTGTGCCATAATGGCTATGCCATTAGGTAATTTTTGAAATTAGGTAATTTTTAAATTCAGTTGTCATTTTAAAAGCATCTGTAGGTGCTATTGGTTTCAAGATGGCTTCTAAAAAGAATAAATCCTTATTTGTGAAATACGTATTCAGAGTGAAAAGTGATTATATCCTTCACTGTGCCAAATCAATATCTTGTCGGCATATTTCAGAATGAAGAAATTATTCTGGGATGATGTTCCAAACCCCAAGAATTGCTCTTGGGCACAGGGAGTTAACTTCCAAAAGGTATGGGTTCCCACTTAAATACATTTCAGTGATTTGTGAGCTTTATTTGCTTTTAACTAATTTATTTACTCATCAAGTTTTTTAACAACCCTGTAAATAATAGCCATGAATAAAGAAATGAAACTTAATCATGTGCCTGCTACTCTCATGCAAACTTAAATACTAGAATGAACGGGGCTTTCTGGAAATGAAAGCCAATGCCTACTATTAAATTGATGAAATTGGGTTCTACATGGGTTCCACAGGTACACATCCAACAAAAAAAATGCCCTAATCCAGGGATCTTTTCTGTGAACTGGAGACTCCAGTGTATGGAAAACTGTTCTCCTTCAAGGCTTTTACTTCATCACAGGAAGCAACCTCTAATGCTCACAGAAATATGTGCATGGCTCTCCTCTCTCCTTTGAATATAATAGGGTAGCCCACGTGAAGAGAATATTCTGCATGCAGTTGGTGCATAGGAAGCTCTTAGAATGAGTCAGACCATTTCACTCAGTATCTAACTTCCCCCAACTTGGTTCCCTTTCAGATGTTGCTTGACTCAAATATCCCATCAGCCCCAGCCAGCATAGGCAATGGTTGGGAATGATAGGAGTTGGTTGGGAATGGTTGGGAATGATAGAAGTCCAACAACATCTAGAGGGCACTAGGTTGGGGAAGGCTAGTCTACACTAACTGGTAGGAGCTTTCCAGGGTTTTCACAGTAACCTTTCCAAATCCTACTGGGAAATGCCAGGATTCAACCTAGGACCTTCTGAATGCAAAACAGGTGCACTCCCATAGTGAATGGGTACAATCCACCAGCCATTTCTATAGGATTTTGGTGCATTTATTGGTAAACTGGACTCTGATTCTTTGGTGGCACAAACTAGTGCAGCTGCTGTAGCTTAAATGACAATGTTTACCATTAGATAATTTTACCTTGGAATCACAAATGTTATATTAAAAATTGAGGTGGGCACAAGAAATATACTAATGATTAAGGAGAATGCTTGCTTATTAGGTTTTTTTTCCATTATAAGTTATTTCAGTTTTCATTCCCAGTGAAATATTTATTTTCTCATCTTTATTGTTAATTTTATTTCATTTCATTTAAACAGAGAATGGACATTCTTTGAAGTCTAATCATGATCACTGCCCGCTGAACCAATGTGACAGCTCCCAGACTTCCTATACAGAGTTGTTAGAAGAATTATCTATTTGAATTCAGAAGACAGAATTACTTACATATCATTTCATTATTCTGCTGATTTTGTTCATACATAATAGTGTTGGAAATGATTTTGTTCAAAAGTTGCACTACTGGTAAACAATTTTGAGAACACTTTCCATATTTCAGACCAGGTAAAGGGTTTGCTGGGTTTAAAAGGAGCATACATATCAAGATAGAAGTTAGGAGGACATGCTACACTATGATTTAATAACATGGGAACAAGCCTACACTTGAGAGCAACCCTCATCCCTTTCTTTCTCTTGCTTGGCTGGGAGGAGGAATTTGGACACCTTTAGCTCAGCTTTTTGTTTATTGCAGTTTGTCATGTCATCCAGACCAGCAACTTTGGTTAACGTGGGCTAAGTTTAGTTAGAAACAAACTTACTTCAAACTGCAGTTTCTGAAGCAGGCTTGTTTAAACTAACCATAGTTAACGTTGATGACCAGTCCATAACTGAATGACATGGCAAACTCTTGCTGTTTGCTGGCATCCGTCTGGTGAAGCAAAATTGAAACTTCTGCCACACAGGAGCATATGAGCTCAAGAAGATGCTTGGCTTGTTCCTTAATAAACTGTAAGTGAGCATAATGTGTGAATGCAACCAATGTGTGCCATGCTACTCTCACTTTACTCTCCAAGACTCCTGTTAACCAGCCTTAACTGACATGAATGCATAGAGAGAACATCAGTAGTATATGGCTGACTAAATGAGGGGTGGCGTAATGGGAAGGGAACCTGATTTTGCATTTAAGCCTGATATTTCCCATCCTTGGTTTACAACAATAGCAATAGGAGTCCAGAATGCCATGGCCTTAGAAACATCAATCTTTCTGCCATATTTCCATTTATTTATAAATGGTCTTTTAAAATGCTTTGCTAGTTGAACCGACACTTCACAGTATGTGCTGCTGAGTGTGTTGACCACCTAGAACGTGATTATTCTGCGGCTTCAATAGAGCTCTACGTATGTACAGTGGTACTTCGAGTTACAAACGCCTCCGGTTACAAATGCTTCAGGTTACAAACTCCGCTAACCTGGAAGTTACCTCAAATTGAGAACTTTGCCCCAAGATGAGAACGGAAATTGTGTTCCGGCGGCGGAGCAGCAGCAAGAGGCCCCATTAGCGAAAGCATGCCTCTAGTTAAGAACAGTTTCAGGTTAAGAACGGACCTCCGGAACGAATTAAGTTTGTAACTAGATGTACCACTGTAGCTGAGTAGCATAGTCAGTAGAGGCACAGCCCTGAACTCTTCCCAGTTACTCTAATATTTCCTATAAATTGAACAGGAAGCAAGAAGAGACTGTCATGAATAAGTAACCACATCTAAAACAGTTTTATTCAGGAAGAAACCCTCTCTCCTTAGTTTGATTAGTAAGAAAAGTACCCAATTACTCTGACATTATGGCTTTTAAACTTTCGACTGACTTTGAGGTTATCAGTTGGAATATGAAATAGGAACTTCCTTAGAAACTGAACTTCCAGTTCAAAATCCTTCAAAATAGGGCACTCTGGAGCTTTGTGTTAATGAGAAGCTATTAGATTCTATGGGTCTGTGATCTTCATTGCATGAAGAGACTTTTCTTAAAGACAAGAGATGCCTGACAACACTATTACCAAAGTACATGTGATTTCTGTTCATGTCCATCAGAGTACTGAATGTCACACAACAAGATATATGGAAAATCCCACTTGTTTGTTTAGCTATGCACATCTACTCCACTTTAATTTCATTTCATAGCTGTATACATCTCCAAATTGCCTTTGAAATGAACATAATTCTTAAAACCTTAATTCCCTGACTGGGTCCTCTGTGGTTATGCATATTTCAGTTTCTAGTTAGTCTATTAAACTCATTTTTCTTTATTGTATTTATTTGACTGTATCAATAGCGTATTAGCATTTAAAAAAGCAATGTCAATATATGTAACAGAGGATGAGTTCTGAAAGCAACAGGATTTTCCATGCCCTCCCTCCAATTTCTGTTTACCTCAGTGCACTTGGTGTAGAATTTCAGTTTTAGAAGAAGCTCTTAAAAATATTGAACATGTTTGAACAAAAAGTTTATTATTGGAAACACTAAGGGGGCTATACTTCCTAGTGTAAGTATAGCACTTGTGTACAGGGCATTGTACCTATGGCTCAATGGAGGCCTTTTTCTACTGTCACCTCTTGAAGTGCATGCAGAGGTGAGAACACAGGCATCACACCAGGGTATTGCAGGGGACAGGAGGTATTTGAACACCTACCATCCAGCCATTCTTAATTACTTAGGCATGGGGAACTGGAGATAGGGAGCAGGAAGAGAGGGAAGACAGAGAAATAAGATTCTGCCCACACCAGAAAGGACGCCCTAAGAGAAATACCAAAATGTAATTGAGATTTTCTACAGAAGAAAAACGCAACATAAACAAAGGGCATGCAGTAAAAATTAAATTAGTCATCTTCATTAACCTTAGCTGGTGTACTCTTGAGTAGGACTAATGTTTCAGACAACCTCATGTCTACAGAATATTGAAAAATCATTATTTTTTGCAGCCACACTCCAACCCTTCAAAACTACCAAGTTACAGTTTCCCCAGTGAAGTCAGTGGGATCACTTTTTCATATCGTGAATACAAATAAATTGCATCTAGGACTTTAAGTGACTGTATTTTGCACTCTCTCGTTATCTTGCAGTTGAATCCAAACTAAATTTTATGACAGCTACTGAAGTTATGAATGCTCCCTTCGTGTTACTTTTCACAGGCTTAAATTGCTGTAAAAATGTTTTCCTGGCACTCCCATTTGATGCATATATCCAAGAGCAAATATTTAACAGCCAAATGCTTAAGCAATTTACTCTGCATTTAACTATTTTATCACTGTAGCATTGTGGGGTGTTTTTTCCCAGGAAACAGTACCTACAACATCTAACTCATATTAACTCATATTAATTCATATTCTAATTCATATTCATTCATGCTAACATATGGCTTATTTGATTTATGCAATCTGTGTCCTTGATTTGACTCTGTAGGTCAAGTATCAGAGCTGCATTAGAAAGCTGTAGTGGTAAACTCAAGCCCTATCACTGTGTGATCTGTGGGAGCCTGATAGGTCTCTCTGTACAGAAAATCTCTATAGCACCCAAGGGACCCCTGTGTTATACAAGCAGTCTCTCTTCTCCTATTTTAGCTACTGCAATTTTTTGTATTTTGATAGTCATATAGATTTATAAGCCACTTTTCTTTAGTTTCTTCTCTGTTGGGCTTATAAAAACTGCCTACCTGAGCAGGGTAAGAGGAGAAGCTATGCAACTGGAATGCATCGCCTTATCCCATGACTCTAGAACTAGCCCTGGGTAGCTAGTAGGTAGGAAGGAAGCAAAATGGCATTACATTTTAATCAATATCTGATTGGAGTATGGGTTTAGTACCACTGGATACAAATTTGCAGGAAATGGTTTTGATTTTTCAAGAAGCCAGAATAATTCCCCATGCAGACTTAACAGATACCAGAAAACTTCTCTTCAGAGTAGGGAGCAACTTGACCAGATATCAGGATACAGTAGCCTGTTAGGTATGGCACTTGACTAAATTCTTGAAGTTTATAAGGACTGGCTGCTCTTGATAAACACTTGTACCAATGACATGTATATCCATCATTATTTCTACCGGATTGGAGAAGTAAGGGGTGCAGATAGACTGCATCATTTCTTCCATATACTATAGGCTATAAAACTTGTGAACCTTAATTACCCAGGCTGGATGGCTTTGGGTGGACTTTAATAATTTGCAGAGACTGTAATTGTTGACCATAGCCAATTTTGCTTGTCAGCTTGTGGGTTTTAAGTGCTGCAAAACTTTGCCCTCCCCATTATTCTCATAATTCCTCCTAACTGACAAGAATGAAAAACTGGCTCAGAGCAATTGCTTTAACAAATTTTGAGGCCCTTTTCCCTGAAGTGGGTGGGTGCTCATTGTGCTAGTTGTATGAACCAGTTTGCTGCCCAAGTGCACTATAGCCCAGCCCTTCGAAGTGGAAATGGGTAGGAACTTTTTCCTACCAGTCTACTCCAAAGGCATAAATAGGGAGCAAGACTCAGGGCTTTAGCACTGCCAATGTAATGCATGCATACTTACTCTTCATTGACAAGAATGATAATCTGGTTCAGAACAATTATTTTTCCCTTTGTTATATAAGCTCATCAGAGACTGACCTGAAATGGAACCTTCAGTATTATCCAAACTCCAATGGTATCATAAATGTAAATGTGTTACAAATTTCTGGCACTAATCTCTCTTTTGTTATAATGCTTATGCACACTACTTAAAATAAAGCATACAACTTCATGAAATGTGAATGCCATTACATTCATCAGGCTTTGAAAGTTGTGCCAAATTAAGAATAATAAAATTGAAGTGTTTAATGTATTTCCTTTCCCCCACCTTTCTTTTCTGTTCATTTCAAGTCATTAATTAATAAATGAGCATTAAAATGTATCTTGTCTTCTAGCCTGAAACCTTTGAACATCTCTTTCTCAAGCATCCTGAAGCACTGTCATTTGGTCCTCTTCTTCTGGAGTCAGAAATAGTGTTGGAAGATATCAGTATTGAGAAAGCAATGAAAGACGAAGACAAACAAGATTTACTAGCTATTGACTCTCTGTTTGCAACCACACAAGACTTGGAGCATGACTCAGCTTGCTCTAGTGGCCATTTCAATAGTGATAGTTTCTCTGAGAATGTCCATGATGCTGAAACCCGTGGCGGAATGACAGGACAATCTAATATAAAATATGCGACTATTTTAACCAACTCCATGTCAAGTGGGCTTTATGAGCCAACAAAGGATGTAAGCAGTTCTTTTGGAAGAGGTTTTCTAGGCCATGATTCCTTAGTTCCAACATCTTTCTCTGGTGGTTCTTGGGCAGTGGGAAATCAATCATTTCTGCTATTGCCTGATTGCGATGAACACCTGTCCCCTCAAAAGCTCTCTCTCTCTGTTGTTTCATCTGAGGGCTTCTCAGAACCTTCAGAGCAGGATAGAACTTTCAGTGAGGAAGACAGTCCAAAGAGAAGCATGTTCTACTTAGGAATGAGCTCACTCAAAAGTGAAAATGACATCTTTTTAACAGAAAGTTCAAATGGGGTTTGTCACTTTCACACCAATGCTTTAGTTGGAGGCATGCAGTTTCCTCAAGATATAACCAGTGATCTAAATCCCTTTATCAACAAGTGTGAAACCCCTGTCCAAGCTTTCATACCGTACATGCCACAGTTCCAGACAACGGCAATTAAATTGCATGAGACAGCCAGTGGTAAAGTCTAAGCTGTCACCAATTGAAGTTTACTCTTGATGTACTCTTGATTAAGGCCTCTTTTCTCTCCTCGAGATTCGCATTTTTCCGCAATGAACAGGCCCATATTTATTTATTTTTTAACTCATAGCCCACATATTTTATTCAACGTTGCACTTCTGTTGCAAGAATATTGCATTTTCTCCAGGTACAACAACCAAACAGCATTAGGTACCTGGCAAAATGTGTTTGCTGCCCTCCCCCGGCTGATAATTCCATTGTAACTTTTATGTGAAATGTGGCTGAATCCAAATCTTTTGGATGCCATAGTGGCCTTACTAAATCCAAAAGGAACAAATCCTTTCCTCCCCTGTCCCCCATCTGCTCCATGACTGCATCATTCTGAGAACTTTCAAAACCATAAAAGAACTCTCTTGCTGTATGGAGCTACTGCAAAAACAAACAAACAAACAAACAAACAAACAAACAAACAAACAAACAAACAAACAACCCTTTAAAAAACAACCTCGCTGAGCCTTGTATTATATCACCCCATATTCCCCCCACCATTTTATGAACATTTTTAAAAGACCGTTTAATGTGTGTGCTTTCCCCTATTCACATTTTTAGAAACTTGGGAGAGAAGAGCAAGCCTATCTGTTATCGGAAAGGCAGATACATGCGCTCGCACACAGCATGTGTTATGTGGGAGCATATAGTGAGCAACTGAAACTGGATGGGTGACTGG